AAGTTATGTTTTACACAACAATGATGAATATCCGCCTCATCAAACATAAGTCGCTGATATTTGTGATTAACTTTTTTCTATTGAATCTTAATTTTTAATGCTACAGTCAGTCAACAAATCAAATTTTATGCAGTAGGGATGAATACTCGACTTATCAAACAAATTTTTTCAATAATCTCTCAATTCCTTTCTTTCTTTCTTTGTTTCTTTTTTTTGTTTTTTCATCTATAAAAGTGGCAGCATTACTTGAATTTATCGATGTTTATATATGATCTTGATTGTATTTTTTATTGTTTCTAGATATGTGCGCAAAATTTGCACATAATTCACTACCATTTATTGTTTGTTGTTTATTTTTTTTTTTCACGTGTACAATCGGGAACTGTACTATATTTTTCCACTGTTGCACTACTTTATTTATACTTGTATTTATTGACTTTATTTATACTTATATTTACTGCCGCTTAATAACTCATCATTTGCAATACATATTCGACATGTCGGTAAAGGATCTCGAAAGAAAATATAATTGTTTTCACTACTTATTACCTTATACTTGTATTTATTGATTGTATTACATTGATCTTTTACAAATGAAGTTGCTGCCACTTAATCACTCGTTTGCAATACATATATTCGGTATATCGGAATAAAAAATAGCGAATGTTGGAGGTGGTGCAGGGGAACTTTCATTCTCTCCATCCTTTAATTTTTGGGGATCAAAAGATCGGGATTGGAATTGTCATATAATCCTCTTGTTCCATACCTCATACTGAAACTACGTCCAGTATGCAACGGAATCTATAAAAGATTTAGACTTTATAAAAGATTTAGATATCTATAGAAATACTATTTATAGGAAACCTTTCAGAGCATCATACCACTTATTATTTTGTAATATTTTACAAATTGCAATTTGTTTTTCATTATTCAAACATCATGTTCACTACGATACAGTCACTGATGATATCTAATACTTATTAGAAATGTTTGTTACCTCAAATCTAACAGATTTCTCCTGATTCAATTGCATTATCACGCAGTAATCATATTTCGACAACTAAGAAAGATCCTTGTTGTTGTAGTTCATCTTTAAGAGAATTGCAAAATGTTCTCTTTGAAAGAGAAGTATTAATGGGTTTGATTATTGCATTAGAACAGCTCTGATGGATGTTAGTTTAATTCATATTAAAATTTGAATTAACTCAATAGTATCGAGAAACAGAATCATTTTCCCAGTAAATAACTCTGATCTTAGTTAAATCAATAGATGAAAAAGCAAACAGTAGAAGAAGTTAAGAATGGAGGTGAATTGTTGTCCTTCCGCATCAAAAATTTTCCCTCTTTCCCTTTTTCCACAATGTTTTAGAAGGGAATACGGAGACCAACTCTAGAGGAAATGTTTGTTGCACGGATGACAATCTCTCAAATCCACAAAAATACTTTATTAATGCATATCGATCGATTGGCAAATGCCATGATGAAACCAATTTAGAAAAATTAAATACATTTTCTGTGCATAACAGCTAAGGTCTGAGGAAATAAAAAACGGTGGTGCAAAGCAATGGAACTAGTCTGTAACGGATGCGATACGTTTTACTACGACAGGGTCTAACGGATGGCCCATGCGTGACATTTTGTCCAATGTCTCCAATAGTCATTCGATCATATAAGTAGTCAAAGGTTAGGACAACACCATTTGTCCATCCAAAACCATCCTAGAAAAAGAATAATGATTGTGATGAAGTGATAAACTGATCGAAATAAGTGCATAAATATTTCATCGAAATAAAATGAATTTCATAAGTGGAATACCTGTACGTCATACTCGCCACCAGCTCCTGGCTTGGGAATTGTCCCAGTAACATCAATCTAAACAAACAGGAATGAGTGTTAAGATGAACTAATTGTCAAGTTTCACTTGTGCGCATTACCTGAAATTTGCTAATTATTGCTTTTTGACATATTCCACTGCTATTATCAGAAAGAATTTCAACATAAGCGATGTTTGAAAAGATGGGACAATTTTCAAAAGTTTGGTTGACAAAATGGAGTAACATTTGCATAAATGAAATTGATGAATAGCTAGGATTAAATGTAATCGTATGGTGAAATATTTAATCAATTGTGCAGTATTAAATAATCCTGTCTGCTTTGTTTAATAAAATATAGTATATTGAATGATTATTTGCATATTGTAAAAGTTGTAAATTTTGGTGACGTAAATTAAATGACAATTGGAAATATGTTGACTTATTTCCAATATTTATTCTTAGGTACTGCATGGTACCTTAATGGCATTTCAATTGATCATATTTAATTCCATGTATCTTTCTTTCCATCTGTTCTTTTAAATTAATTTCTTTACCTAATAATTAAGTTAATAATATTCCATACATATGATTTGTTTTGCAGCAGTAATTCCACTAATATTTGAAAATATAAAGTAATGAATTTAACTCCTATTTATTGTGACATTTGTTTTTTTGTTGAAAAATTACAAATAAATTTGTTGAAAGGAATTTCCAAATCTACCGCCCAATTTAATTGTGATAATTAAATGCTATTTTTTTTTCTGTTTTTGCCACCAGACTATGTCACCAAACAGTTAAAAGTATAAGGGTATGAGTTGTGACAATGGTTAATTTGTTCATCATATCAGGTAAGTTAAGATAGGGTATAACAGTCAGTACTTCAGCATTTGTTAAATGATCAAACTAATATTTTGTAATATTCACTTCTTTTTTCTTTTGGCGATTTGGTTTTGTAAATAATAATAAAATAATGAATTGAAAATTATTTGGTCGCAATTAGCTTTGATGCCCTTCAGTTTTTCTTTTAATTTTCAATTGCAAATGAATTTTACCCATTTACTTTAATTACCAATATGTATAGAATTGTAATTTCAGGAGATATGGCTTAAAGAATGCGTATATCAAAAGACAAAAGCAGATTACTTACTTCAGCATTAATACTTCGTAATTACGATTGCACCATTTTTTGTTTCTATATAGAACATAAGAGTAATTAAAGGTAGGCCAGTTGCAGCACGATACTTATTCGGTGGTAGACTAAAAAATATTATTGTGTATTGACATAATGGGTGTCAAAGTCGAATCATAAACGATTTAGTAGACTGCAGACAAATTGCAAAATGATTCGACGTATTAAGTGCTAGGCTTTATCAATTTGTAAAATAATAATAGTAGGCAAATTTTCACTTAGTATATAGCTTATCTTATTTCTCTTTATTCCCATTGTAGATAAATTGTTTTTAAAATGATTTGAGATCTTAGTTATTTACTTTTAAAATTTTTCAGTGTTAGAAAATTGGGAGATAGGAAGTTTTTCATCAAAGCAGAAATTTGTCGCTTGATTGAGGGAATATTTTGAGGAGAAATTTGTTCTTCACATTTAGGTTTTTGCTAAGTCACAAATATTGGTAAATCTTGCTTTATTATGGAAGGAAAAAATTTTGACGCATTATGAATTTAATAAATTGTTTTTAAGGAGATCTGAAGTTGTCGGAAATTCTACTACATTTATTTTCAAGAGTCAATAGTTACTTTTAAAGCCGTGATAAATAATAATAAACAACTATGAAAATAAAATCAGATCATAAACTGATCACAAAAATTTTTTAGATGCTGCTTTGTTTAGCTAAGATAAATAAACAGTCAGTCGCAATGTGGCTTAGCAGACGGAATGCATATCTTTCATGAATTAGGAATCTATCAATTTAGCCGAGAGGACAAAGATTCATTTCTCTATTGATATTTCCAAAATTTGTTGATTATCATTGAAGCATTACTGTCATCATTGTCAACACCCTTTAAGCAAATGATTCATTAGTCACCGAAGCTAATACACCTGAGCGAGTGATAATGAAGAGAAAAATGTTGCAGCATCTAATGTGTGTAACTATAGGTATCATCCTAAGCCTAACCCTAGGCTCAAATGCAAATGTCATCCTAATCCTTTATCATATGATATGATTACATGAAAAATTGCATATTTTACTGGAGTAACTGCACATTTGTTGTTCTTTTTGACGACAATTTTGATTTTGATGATAAATGTTGGTTTTGTCGCCTTCTGTATTAGATATGAAACAGTAGCTTTCATATATAGAAAAGTAATATTGTTCTTGATGTTTTTCTACATTCACTTTTCAACGATTAACTTACAAAATTTTTTAGTGTCGAATACCCGGGGAAAAGTTTTCATTAAATATAATATCTGCCATTTATTTTGCATGTTAAGGTTTAGGCTAAATTATAGGTGGGAAATTTTTTCTTATAATACCATTTCTTTGCTTAAAACCACTTCGTGATGCCAATTTTTGTTATAAATTTTTAGCTTCTCATTTATGATGCTTTTTCATATTGGTTTTTTTGCATAACAAATCGCTTATTTCAGTTGTGAACGCATTTTGTACATTTAAATGCTTGTCCCCGAATTTTATTGCCAATTAGTACATTTATGCATTTCATAGAATAATAAATAGAGAAGAAATATTAAAAAAACCCAATGGTAAAATGAAATCATTAATCGGTCGCTACAATCTGATGCCTCGAAAACGTCCGATTGTTTTTTTTTGCGAAGAATGCTAAATTTTGTCATTTCTAGAATGAAAATTTTAATTTTATAACGCCAAAAAAAAAATAATTGCAGTTTGGCTTTGTGGATAGAATAATATGCTTTTCTGCATAAGTTCCACGAATTAGGAAAATAAAGCAATTTGGTTAAGAGTGAAAGGATATTTTCAATGTTTGTTGATGTTTGTATATTGAAGCGCCATTGTCACCACTGTCAACACATTTTTAAGCAATTGATTCTTAGGTCGTGGGTAGTAGTACTGAGTGCAAAAAAATATATATAGCATCTTAATGAGTGCGTCTAATGAATTTTGTTTGTCACTCAACGGTCACAAATCTTTCATAACACATTTCACACCTACTTTATTTCCAGCTGACATAAGTTTCGTTAACTTTGGAAAACTAACGAGGAGCTCTGGAGCACACTTTCTTGTGAGACTTCAGTACATCCATGCGGTAAAAGAATTTGCCACAGCACTCGCACTGAGGATGAGGTTTATGTGTCTTCTTGTGATTGCGAAATGATGATTCATGGTGGAATGTTCGCCCACAATTGGTCACTCTGCACTCATAGATGAAAGGTTGATGCGTTTTTCTATGTGTTATATATTCGTTGTAATTTTTCGTGATCATAGTACATCCGGGATAAAGGCATTCGTAGCTTCGTTCGCCTTAAGAATTATCGTTTGATTTTTTTTTTTTTTTTTTTTTTTTTTGTTATTGTTCTGTTGTAGTGTTTGGCAGCTAATTAAGTAATCTGATAAATCATAAAAGTATTAACAAAATCTCATTCAAATAATTTAGATCGCAAGAAGCTGCTGTTTAACTATGTTGCAAAAATAGTGTAATTATGAATTTTTCGTTTCATTGTGACACAAATGTTTCATAACATATTCCAATGCATTCTACTTTAGGCTGATATATACTTTTAAAATTCTGCTAAATTTGCAAACTAACGAAAATTTGTTTGGCAATGCTTCTGGTGATTATACAGTAGCTGATTCCTACTGGTAAAGAATTTGCCACAACACTCGCACTGAGGATGAGGTTCATGCGTTTGCTTGTGACTGCGAAATGATGATTCATGGTCGAATGTCCGCCCACAACTGGGCACTTTGCATTCATAGATGAAAGGTCCATTGTGTGTTTCTTTATGCTTTATATTATCGTTGTAACTTTTCGAGATCACAGCACATCCAGGATAAAAGCATTCATAACCTTGTCTATCTAAAAAAATTCACATTTGTTTTTGTAATTAGTATGATTTTCAAATAATTTAGATCACAGAAGATGCTTAATTATCTTGGTGTATAGCTACAACAAAAAATGTAATTGAGATTTTTCTGTTGTATTGTCACTCAGCGATCACGGATGTTTCATAACACATTTCAATTTTATTTCAGGCTAATATGTGTGCTCAAAAATTTGCTAAATTTGCAAACTAACGAAATTTTGTTGGGCAGAGCTTCTTATGTCTTTGTAGCCCATACATGGTGCTGAAGAATTTTCCACAGCACTTGCATTGATGATGAGGTTCATGCGTCTGCTTGTGATTGTAAAATGATGGTTCATGATGAAATATTCGCTCGCAACCGGGCACTCTACATTCATAGATGAAGGGTTGACCATGTGTTTTCCTATGTGCTACATATTCACTGTAATTTTTTGTTACCATAGTACATCCGGGATAAAGGCATTCGTAGCTTTGTTCGCCTAAAAAAATCTTATGATATTGGTCTTTGCAATTATTAATTCATGTGAAAAATAATCATAAAAATATCAGTGCATAAGATAATCTTACTATATCTCATTTCAAATCACTTAAATTATAAGAATCTGCTTATTTATCTCCTGATATATTTGAAACAAAACTTTTGGTATTACTTTTTAATTTTGATGCTACTTCTAATGGAAAGACCTCATACAACAGATGATGTGAATTTTCTGTTGTGGCGAAATTAGGTTTAGTTTTCGTCATTCTTTGTACTCCCGACTTCAAGTAATCGAGTAATGGATAAGTGATTAATCTGTCGCGATATTAAAACATCAGTTGCTACGATATGCTGACTGCCTGCCACAGGACTTTTGTTATATATATAAAAGAAACTGAGGTTAGAAAAATGTCGCAGCATTTTCTGAATTGTATATTGCTACACCATGGTCACCGATGTTTTGAAATATATTTCCACATCCATTATATTTTAAATTGAACGTTTTTAAATATTGTATTTCAAAAAAAAGTGTTTTTTCGAATTTAAAAAAAAAAATTTGTTATACTAACGAGGTGGTGTGCCACAGTGCTTGTTGTGTCTTTGTAGTATGCTCTTTCTACTGAAGAGTTTGCTGCAGTTTTTGCATTGATGCTTAGGTTGATGTGCATGTATGTGACAACAAAATGATGATTCATGGTCGAATGTCCGCCCACAACTGGGCACTTTGCATTCATAGATGAAGGGCTGACCGTGAGATTTCTTATGTGTTATATATTCTTTGTAATTTTTTGTGATCACAGTACAGCCGACATAATGACAAATATACTTTTTGTTATCTGAAAAATCCATGTCAAAAAATGTATTTTTGCAATTAGTAAATCTATTACACCATTTTGTAGTTAAGTAATGTGAAAATCACAAAAATGTCAGTGCCATAAAAAAAAAGATCATATTGCATTTTGAATAACTTAGATAGAAAGTTTATTTATCTTCTCACATATATAAAGTAAAAACCATACTTTTAATGTCGCTTCATCAATTTCATGCTGCTGAAGAAAACAAAGAACTATAAAAGATAGAGCGAGAAATCGTTATGCAATTTCTCATTACCTGTTTCTGATCGTTCATTGGTATTTTCCCTGTAGTCGGGGACATTCAAATTATCCAAGAAGTGCCTATTGCCCATGTTGTTCTGTTCAGCATTTCCGTGTTGATCGGATGTGTCATCTGGGGAAAGAGTAAGTTGGTGAAAATAGATCGGAACCGCACTTTGTTGTGAACCAGGTAAGTGCATATATGTGATAATGTCATCGGTGTTGACATTAAGTGGCGAAGAAGTTTCACTTTGAGCATCTAAATAACTTAGATTTCAATATCTTAAGTACTAAGCACTTGTCTATATCATCTTCTCACATATTTGAAGTAAAAATTATACTTTTAAGTTACTTCTGGATGGATTTCGATCGATAATTGTAGATTTTTTGTTTTAGTGGGATAGATATGTTTAATTTTATGGATTGGATGAAAGTAAAAAACTATAAAATAGAGCGAAAAATCGTTATGCAATTTGCCATTACTTGTTTCTAATCCTTCATTTTCCCTGTAGTCGGGGACAATCAACTTATCCGAGAAGTGCTTATTGCCCATGTTGTTCTGCTCAGCATTTCCGTGTTGATCGGATGTGTCATCTGGGAAAAGAGTAAGTTGGTGAAAATAGATCGGAACCGCACTTTGTTGTGAACCAGGTAAGTACATACATGTGATAATGTCATCGGTGTTGACATTAAGTGGCGAAGAAGTTTCACTTTGAGCATCTAAATAACTTAGATTTCAATATCTTAAGTACTAAGCACTTGTCTATATCATCTTCTCACATATTTGAAGTAAAAATTATACTTTTAAGTTACTTCTGGATGGATTTCGATCGATAATTGTAGATTTTTTGTTTTGGTGAGATAGATATGTTTAATTTTATGGATTGGATGAAAGTAAAAAACTATAAAAAATAGAGCGAAAAATCGTTATGCAATTTGCCATTACTTGTTTCTAATCCTTCATTTTCCCTGTAGTCGGGGACAATCAACTTATCCGAGAAGTGCTTATTGCCCATGTTGTTCTGCTCAGCATTTCCGTGTTGATCGGATGTGTCATCTGGGGAAAGAGTAAGTTGGTGAAAATAGATCGGAACCGCATTTTGTTGTGAACCAGGTAAGTACATACATGTGATAATGTCATCGGTGTTGACATTAAGTGGTGAAGAAGTTCCACTTTGAGCATCTAAATAACTTAGATCACAAGAAGCTGTTCACTTTTCACACATTTGAAGCAAAAGTCTCACCTCTAATGATAGGATATCGTGCTTTATCATCATTTGTTTTTAATTCTCCATTAGCATCTCTCCACACATTCCTATTTGAATCTGTATATGAACCAAGTAATGAGTCCAAATTAGTGTGGCCCAACAAACCATGGCTGTTTGAAAAGCCAGGATGAGGAGCATTTGTGATCTCGGGTATCGATTCTCTGCTACTTATATCCTCAATTTCACTCAACTGATCGAAATCAATCAACTGCGAAGGATCGGATGGAAATTCTGAGCCAAACAATGGCTCAAAATTGTTGTAATCGAGGATATCAAAGCTGTTTGAGGTGCCAGAATGAGTAGTATATGTGATAATTTCATCACTTTTATCGAGGTTAATTATAGGGAAAGTTTTATTTTTTTCAGAGATGATGCAAAGCAAAAGATTGAGCCAAATAATTGGTGTCATAGGCATAGTGAAGAACATGGTGAAACAAGAAATTTCGTGAAATGACAGAAATGCTCACATGAAAGCTCTTTATTTCAGATTGGTTGAAATTAAAGATCAAAGGTTTAAACAGCTTTTAATCTGTCCATTGTTTGTTATATTTTTAAATTCTCGCTTTTCTCTCCCCCAACTGGTAGTTTATGTGTGTTTTTGTGAACCGGAAAGAAGCGTCATAATAGCACGTAAATCTGGTGCTTTGGATACTGATAGATTATTTCAATATGTGGAAAAGCAATTGGCGTTTTTAAGCACTTAATTTGATTCATTTAATAAAATCAATGTTGCATCCTACTCATAGTATCATTCATGGAACTTTATGGGATGGGCGCATCACCTGAAATTTGATAATTATTGCTTTTTGACATAGATCCATTGCTATTGCTGCTATTATCAAAAAAATTTTCAACATATGCTGGGATAATATTTGATGTTTGAAAGGATGGGACAAATTTTAAACTGCATTCATACAATAGGGTAGCATTTGCATAAATGCATAAGTAGAAATTAATGAATAGTTGAAATTAAATGTCAATGGGTGAAACATTTAATCTAATGATGAAATATTTAAACTAAATAATCCTATTTGCGTTGTTTGATGAAATATCGGTACTAAATTATTAGTACTAAGTGTTATCGAGATTTTAGATTTTAAATGTTTGTGACGTCAGTTGATTAATAGTTGCAACCTTTCGTCAGTTAATTAGCACAAAATTTAATTTCAACAAATCTAGCGTAACCTTTTACGGTGAATATCCAGGTCCCAAATCAAAGCAAAACTGTTTTTGTACAAGCTATTTTCCGTTTCTGTTCTATTCAATTACTATTTGTCACAAGTTTAATGAGTAAAAGGCTACGAATTGATTTGCTTAATACTACAGTCCCAGGAAAATGTTCTAACTACGTCTGGGGAAAAATTCACTTCCTAATGCCTTATGACGTTAATGGGCTTATTATTACTCGAAGTGTTAATGGAATTATTATTAGACAAAATTCAATTTCGATAAATCTAACATGAACGTTTTACGATGATTCAAGTGTAGATGAGCAACAAATATAGCTGACATCATAATATAGTGATTAATAAATGCTGTTTGACTTTCGAGAAATCAAC